CACACTTCATGACTCAAGATTGTCCTACTTCCAGCTCCATCTATCATAAATAAACCTGGGGCTATAGTTCAAGTTCTTCAGGTATTTTTATCATTGTTGCATGGAGAGAGAGGAATTTTTCAGTGCAACATGGAAAATGTACCTGAAAATACACTAGTTATTTGTATACAGCCTTATGTAATGCGAGTGCTGATCTGACCCCTGCCACAGACAAGCTGCCATATTGTACCAGCTAAAGTTACCAAGGGAAGTTAATGTTTAGTACCTTATGGAGTGCATTAAAGTAAGGTGGAGAGATCTAAATTCAAAAAATGGCACAATTTCTTCTACAGCCTTAAGAGGTAAAAAAAAGCAATATGTTGCTGGTAACTGAATGTCCAACATGATCAGCAGTTTGTAAATCAGAGTTACAACTAGAATGGAAATTTAGTCAATGAAGAGAATTTAAAATTGCTCTTCCGGTTTTTAGGATTGGATTCGCATCTTACCTGAACAACTAGTGTCCTTCAGATAGGTTTTTAACCAGCTACCCCTCATTCAAGCCCTAATCTTGGCTGTATACTTCTTTTTTCATATGGCTGATGTAGATAATTGCATCAGGAACAACAGAGTATATCACTAATACTTCCTTCACATTTGTGGATAAGTTGTTATATGTTCCATGGTCTGTTCTGGCTGCACACTGGGCGCTACTTTTGTGCTGTCTAGGTCTGATAAAATGGTATCATCCATAAATTGGAGACAGTACAACTCCCATTCTGTCCCTGCCTATCTAAGCAGCCCTGACAAAGTTGAACAGGAGACAAGAGAGACTAGAATCCCATTGTAAACAATCATATGCTGTTTCCCCATGTATTGTATCGAGAAGAAACAAGCCCTTCCAAAACATCTTTCTTCTAATAACGGTACCTGCTTGAGCAGAGCCTCGTAATGAGATGTATCAAAGGATGTGTCTGTGCCATAGGTGGGAAGTGGTTGCAGCATGTGCCAGTTTACCCAAACCAGCTTTAATCAAACTTGCAAGGGTAACACAGCAGTTAAGTCGCTTTGACATGGGCTTTGCCGAAGGCTCCATGCACCTAAATAATAGGCACACAGTTGGATAATTGCAATTTTTGGCACTTTCATACAGATCAGCTTTCTTTTCTCCTTTGTGGCAAGTACAACACACTGGTCCACAGAAGGTAACAGAATCCTAAAAGTAGATGTAAATGCCAAAACCTGCTGCTGTTTATGGATCATGTAGTAAAGGCTTTGTCATTGCCCAAAGCATTTTCCAGCCCTCCTCTTAATGCTGATCCACCATATCTTGAATTTATGATCTATTGGACAAAATGCCCTGGGAAGCATCTGTCTCCTTTGGGAGCAGAAAGCAGAGCTGCAGCCCAGGATCACCTCCCACCTAAATAAGCATCCATTTCACTGATCCACATGCCCTCTGGCTTCTCCTTTTTCTTCAGGCCCCACGTATCTCCCTCTCTTGTGTGCCCTGTGAACCAGTTTCAAGAGGAAGGATGAGGAAAGGTCCAGATAATGCCTGATATATGGCCTGGTAGAGCACTTTGGTAGGAAGCAGGAAACATGGATTCAAGCCCCATCTGGGTGCCTGGGACCTAGAATCTGGATCTCCCATTCCCTGGGCAAAGGCCCTGGCCATTAGGTTGAAAGGTGGGAGAAGATCCTCCTACTCCTCATTCTTCTGCAACTTTATTTTGAGACTTACCGAATCCTACACACATACCTAGGCAGTTGTGCAGCTGGCTTGCTGGAGTACAGCCCTTTTGAGCATGCTCAGGGGATAGAGTCCATCCTGCCTTATCTTCATTGCTATTTGTTAAAACCAGCTCCAAGATGCTTACAAATGCTGCAATTGCTTCTCCTAATTGCAGAGCCAAGATAGCATCTGAAAATTTCTTTATAAGAAAAGAATATGGATTTTTAAAATTAAGTTTTTCAGCTGGGATATTCAAGGGAGGAAAAAAGAATTTGGCAGCCAATTCTTAAGGCTTAGTCACCACTGACATCCTGCTTGCCCTATAGGCATAAGGCAGTGGTGCTTAGGCCTGAGGTACTGGCAGCTTAACTCACTCTTGGTATAGGCCATCTAACTCGCTCTTAAGCCCTTGGATAGTCTTAGCATCAAATCCTTATTTCAGCTCCAACAAATAGATTAATTTTCAAGTACTGAGTACTCAACAGCTCCCCTGGATATAAAATATCTGGATAGGTTTGGAAATATGACAAACACCTTGTGATTTTTGTATGAGAGAGATTGGGAAATAAATAGGAAAAATGTCCCACCTGTGGGGTATTTTACATTTAGTTTTTCTGGTTCTTTAAGACCAGAAATCCAGATGGGGATTTCATAAGCTCCACTAGTTTTTCTGTTTTGAGGATTTCATTAGGACTTCTCAAGTGTTGTACAAAGCTATATGTTAGATACTAGGGCTGTGCGAAACAGCACCAATTCCTTTCAACTTCTGTTTTGCCATTTTGAAGGGACAGTGTTTCATTTCGCTGTTTCAAAGCACTGTTCCATTTTGTTTTGTTGAAACTGTTTTGCTGTTTCGATGCTGTTTCATCATTTTGCCCATAGGCTATAATGGGGAATCACAAAAATGCCTATAACTTTGTCATTTCTTTCCTGATTCAAATGAAAACAGCAGAGATGGTAGCCCCTGCTGAGGCCACAGAGCTTGTAAAGTTTCAAGGAGATAGGTGCAGGGTTTTCTGAGAAACTGCACCTCAAACTGTTCAGAGCAAAACATCACTTGTGTGTAGGCACGGAGTGGGGGGTGAAGACAGTAGGTCTGTGCAAATTGGGAAGTATTTGATTCTGATTCTGATTTGGGCAATTTGGAGGACAGTGATTTGATTCAGTGATTTGAATCACTGTCCCCATTTGATTTGGCCAAATCGGAATCAGGGATTTGGCACTGATTCGGAGATTCAGATCAGCCGGGGAGAGGCAGGCACAGCTGGGTGGCTGCAGGTTCTTCTGAGACTCCTCTGGCTGTGCCTGCCTCACCCCAGATGGAGGGAGCTGCAGGAGAAGCCCCTATGGCTGCCTGGCCCAACCCCAGCCTCTGCCCACCCCCGCCTAGTCCTGGCACTTAAAAAAAAAAAAAGCCCCACACTCACTGACTGTAGCGGGGACTATGGGACCTCCTTGCAGAGCCCCCCATGCCGATCCCATGCCCTGATTTCACCCCCCCTCACCCAGCCTGGCCCCTGATGGCCCCCTGCCTGGCCCCAGCAGTCCAGGAGCAAAAAATTATTTTTTAAAAAGCTCCACACTCACCAGTGCTGGCAGCAGTGATCTGGGCGCTCGTGGCAGAGGCCCCTGCACAGCGCAGGGCAATGCGGGGCAGTGGGGATTGCCTCCCACCCCCACTTGGTACCGACGCGGCAGCTGTCATATCGCATGGGGGCAACACAGCTCAGCAGGGTGCTACATGCTGTCTGGGAGCTGGGGCTGCTGGGCCTGAGTGGTGCTATGCTCTGGCTGACAGGTGGAGCCACTCCAGCTCCCAGACAGCACACAGTGCCCTGCCAAACCGCGCTGCACCTGCATCATGGGGAAGCTGCCATGCAGGTGCCAGGTGGGGGGTGGGGGGGGAGAGGGAATCCTGGACTGCTGGGGCCAGGTGGGGGAGCCATCAGGGGTAGGGCTGGGTGGGGGGGTGATCGAGGTGCGGGGTCTGTGCAGGGGTGCTCTGCCAGCCACTGCTGCAGCTGGTGAGTGCAGGGCTTTTTTTTTTTTAATGTCAGGACTAATCTGGGGCCAGGTGGGGCCAGCCAGGGCAGCCATGAGGGCTTTTCTTACGGCTTTTCCCACCTGGGGAGAGGTAGGCACAGCCACCTGGCTGTGCCTGCCTTTCCCCAGTTGTTCCAAATCTCTCCAAAGCTTTTCCGAATCGATTTGGAGGCTTCAGATTCTAATTGGACCTTTTAATAGGTCTCTCGATTAGATTTGGATTCAGAGATTTGGCTGCCAAATTGGGCTGAATCTCCTTCGAATCAAATCAGCGACCGAAGCTTTACACAGCCCTAGAAAACAGGCATGGTAGCGTAATGGACCCTACTAAACCCTGTAGGTTATTGAACCCCTGTGAGAGAAAGCACAGATTTCTTTTCTGGGGGAAAAGAATCAAAATAGACTAACAAAAACAACAGAGAGAGGATTTTGGGGGAGGAATAAATTGAAAGGAAGGAATATAATAATAAAGGGTATTAGGAAAAGAAAAGGTATTGGAACCCACTTGCTAGGAACAGACTAGCAACTAGGAAGTGATAGCCTTTCTGATGCTGCTGAGCTGGTGGAAGACACAGCTCAGTAATCTGACCCCAAGGCACAGAGAAAGCATAGTTCATACAATGCTTTTTATGTTGTTTTTCCATTCCTCCCCCAGAGCACTGGGATTGGAAGGGACCTCAGGGAAGGATCATAGTCACTGACCAGCTACAGATGTCAATAGCAGAGTAGTCCTTCTCCTCTCTTCCCCCTCCTTCTCTCTAGTTTCTGTTCAGCTGCAAGCAAGCCCGGCTTCAAATCTCAAAATGTTTAGAAGCTTTTGAAATGTTTTGAGTGACCTCGTTTAGTTTTGAAGCCGTTTCAAAACTTTTTGTTTTATTTCGATTTCTCTGTTTCAAGCTCAAAACGCATTGAAACAACTTCAGAAGGAACCCCCTGTCGAAATTTTGCACAGCCCTATTAGATACCAAGGGGATACTTAACACTTAATAATTTTCACAACCTTGCCACAGAGTATATACTTCTTTGTATATTGTTGTGTACACATTTTTTTACTTCAGTTTAAGTGTTTTTTACTATATCATGTTATAATATACTATATTATAATAAATGTATATGGCTTATATAATTATACATAGAATGCAATTTATGTGCATAAGTCTAGTCTTCTGGAATAAGCATAATAGTAAAATTAATAAGAAGATGAATTCTGTGATTAACTTCTTCAATGCTGTTTTCACTGCAGGTTCCTCCTGACCTTCAGAATGAAGTACTAATTAGTCTGTTAGAGACTGACCCAGATGTTGTGGACTATTTGTTAAGAAGGAAAGCTTCCCAGTCATCGTGAGTAATCCCTTTTTTCAACATCTCTGTTTCTCGTGAGAATTTCTTTTGGAAGTGTTCAAAAGGTTCTAGTTTTCCACAAATCCTTAGGTGTTTTCTTTCTAGGAGTAAAAAAGTGCTCCCTGTTACATTGACTCTGCCAAAGAAATTATGTCTCTTCTACATAATTTTCTAAAGACAAATCTTGTTTACTGTTTCTAGGAAAGGATTGTGAGCTGCTTCAGAGAATATGTATATAACTATATTCAATGCACTATAACCTAGCAGGATGTATTCTAGTGATCCACTGGTCCATGTTTTGCCTTTGTTGTGGTCTTGTGCCTTCAGGAGCACAAAACATATATATATTTGAGTATCTTTGAAACACAGCCTGGAGTGCCTTAATAGAATTATGGCTAGTAGTCTGGCCACTCTGTTGTCCCTTTCCCATAGTGTGTACCCATAGGCCTCCAAAGGAGGCATGACATTGTAAACAATTTAATCATAAGAGTGGGTGTATTGTAAGTAGCTGGACATCATCTAGCCATGGGCTAAAAAAAGAGAAACGAAGTGAAAAAATAAACCTCACCAGTCACCACAGCAAATGTTGTTAACAAATTACTCAAACACTATACATGGTGTATGCCTACACCTATGTGCCTTAATGTTATAACTTTATTTATCTGAAATAGTGAGATTGCCAACTTTCTCACAGGACACATAGCACTTCCCTTTCATCCAAGTAAGCCCCAGGGTATCAGACCTTAAAATCAACTCATTGGTATATGTAGTAAAGTTATTCTAATTATGTTTACAGTTTCTAGGTCTTTCAGACAGGCTGGATTTGTATCTGTCCATGTAAGGAAAGTGCCTAGCTTCTAATTGTGGTTGCTTCCAGAACATAACTAATAATATATTTCAAACATCCATTAGCTATGACTATTCTTTCCCTCCAAGGCCAGTACAACTGGACTTTAGATAATAAGTGTACGTGGCTTCACAGTCAGAGCCATGCCAGGAAGTAGTATCATTAGTATTTTTTTTAAATCCTTTCTATAAATTAATTTCCAAAATTGTAAAAAAGTACAACATAATCAGACTATGTGATGATACAATGTGCTTATGAAATTTTTTTTATTGGTCTGAGTTTGGAATGATCACATTTAATTTCAAGCTCAGGTTAATGAAAGGCTTTATGGTAAACATTACCATCTACGTTGTATAGAGATGTATTATTGTGTCTCACATGTAGATACTTGTATTGGTTTATCATAGACTTATGTCAGAGAATGTTGTGCATGTGAAGGTTGTTTATTCATAAAACTTGCTTGGAATACACTCCAAGTTTAATGATTATCTTCCCTTGAGCTTCCTTACCTTACAGCCAACATGCACGCCTACAGGAGAAAGTGGAATTTTTTGCAAAGCTGGATGCAAGTAACAAGAAGGGTTTTTTGCAGGAAAAGGTTTCTAGTGGCACTAGGATCCCACAGTTACCCGAGTACCTATTTGTTCTGATAATGACAGATTGAAATTTCACCAAAATAGAAAAACTTACTATCTATCATTTTCTTCTGCTCTGCTACCAGTTGATTTTATTTGTTCTTAATATTGGTGCAAGCATTGTATGGAAACTCAATGTGAGGAATTGGTTAAAAGATTAGAAAGAATATTGTTAAGTGTCAAGGGTCAAGGATATGATGCTCTTAAGAGGTGGGTCCATTCAAAGCATAATCTCAATTCATAGCCTTTAGGGCATTTTTGGTTATGTATATCTTGGTTATTTTTCCTGAGAAGAGTGGAAGGCAGCAGTGAAGAAAAGAAATATTTACATCAATTTCATCAAAATGAGCCTCCAAAATATATCTGTATTCCCAAGGGGACTTTGCTGATCAGATATTTTATCGTGGATTTCAAATTTGGACTCAGGAGATGGAAAACTTGACATATTCTTCAGTAATGAAAGATAAGCTTAATCAGCAAAGCAACTACTTGGTTTGATATTAATGTATGAGAACAACTTCAATACTTTATTCTCTTGCTAACTGTCCTGAGGCTACTACAGCTGATGCAGGCAATGCATTTGCCTTCATATCTATGGTTTTGATGCCACTGCAGATGCTCTCTTGGCTTCTATTTCAGTCAATGACATAACAGTTTTCTTTCTTTTCTTCTTCAAAGGACGACAAAACAGAGAGTGCCTCCTTCTCTGTCTTAAGAGTTGAGCATCTTGGATGATAGGTGGGGGAAGGGTTTTGGGGAGGGCATTGTGAATCGCTTCTTACCATTAAGACTTCACTGATTACCAGATCTGCTTCTTAGATAACTTTCTCAATATTTCTGTAATCTGGTTGATGATGTTGGAATGAATGGGTTCTCCAGTGTAAAGTGAACCAACTCTGAATTGCCACCAAATAAAAATTGCTCATTAAAAAACCATTTACTGTTTACCATGTTTAAGTAATCTTGTTAGAGTGAAGGTTTTTGAAGTATTCTTAAGATGATGAATGTTTTTAGTCAACATTTATCTATGATACAGATGTGAAAGACTCCATATTAAGCCATGCAATTCCTAACCAACAGGAAGCTTTCAAATCACCAGTTTTAGAGATATAAGGCTGGAAGAAGCCTTTAGAGCCATGAAGACCTGACCCTTTGCTGTTACAAGCAACCATGTCCTTGCAGTTTGAACAGTGACAAAACATGTATTGCCCTGATATATTTGAAAGCTATTACTCCATGCTGCAGTACCACTGCACTCTTTATATATAAAATTTGCCTCTTATTGGAGATAATAATATCATAAGCCTTAAGATTCTGATAGAGAGAAACTCCTTTGAGCTTTGTAATAGTTTCTAGAGCTGATGTTTATAATTTAACATTGCCTAAGCAGAGCTACTACTTTGTGTTTTATATCATTGTTAGTTAGTTACAGTTCATTTTTGTACCCTTTCCTTAGCATAATTGATAGCCTCTACAGACTATTTTTACAGGCTTTCCTTAATGCCCCACCCACCTTGTAATAATGTGTAGTTGCTTAATAAGCTGCACTATTTCAAAGAAGGGCAGATGTTTTCCATGTTTTAGTTACAAAACTGAAAAAAGTATACAAGAAAAAATCTGTTGGAAAAGTCAGCTGTAAAAGTATGTCATCTTTTAATTACTTGTGCTACAGGACCATGTGGTTTTCTCATTAGTGTAAATTTAGGCACTATAAAGTGTCTAGGATTGCCATGTTGGATAGAAATTAATACAATGAGTACCATTAAAAAATTGCTACTTACCACAGGCGGTAATTCAATTCAACACAATTTGATGGTACTTCCTAGTCTAGGCCTGGAATTGCCATAACTACCAGGATGAAGGTATATATTCAATTGTAGTAAATATTCATTTATTAATGAAACCACATTCAAAACAAACTAGAATTGGAAGTTCATTTTTTAAAAATATGCAGCAGTTCAGTTTTTGTTTATAGCAATTAAATGTATATAGGACAAGGCATTTTACAAATCATATTATACACTGTTTTTAATAAACTACTGGAAGCTGAAAATAGTTTCTATCCCCAAGCTATTCTGTCATGTCCCTCTGTATATATACATTGTAAGGTTGCTGTAGGCTGGAATTATTGTAATTTATTTTGAAAAAAACACCTTTAAGTAGTAGTTTTGAAAATAATATCACATGTAACAAATTGCATGGGATTGCTAATGGATAACTTTAAAGGGGATTTTAAAAAGTGAAAATTTGGACCTTTCCAAACTTGACAATTTCCATTTAAGTGAGCATTTATCAGGGACTCAATATTGAGAAGAGATAGACTATAACAAAGATCATTTAAGGTAAGACATAACATGAATGTTGTATACAACAAGTTATGTTCCTACGTTTCTTCATTTGCTTTCACCACCCTCTTTCCCCACTCTTTGTGTTACCTTGCCATAGCTAACTGGTTCTATAACTTCCTGTTTCTCCCATTGCAAAAAAACTGGGCCCTGATCTTTCAGACACTTAGACATGCCAGTCTTCCTGTTGTCTTTAATGGGACTCCTTATATGTTTAATGTTAACCATGGGCAGAATTGTTTGGAGGCCCTGAGCCTGTAGTCATCTATCTCTATATAACACTCCTGCATTTTTCAAACATTGTTCTGAACTCAACTATTTCTTTTCTTAATTCACTTACAAGAAAGAAAAGGGAAAACACCTGGCATCTTTTGCTGGTGTTATCTTTATTTACACACTGAAAACTATCTAAGTTATATTGTTGTGGCTGGTTTTGTACGTCTTTTGGTGATTCCGTGACCCTGCTACCTGAATGGATGACCTAGAACAGTGTGGGGCAAACTTTATGGCAGGCAAGCCTCAAATTATCCCCATGCCCTCCCCAAGTGGCACCATGATCCCCTTCCCTGCCTGATCTGTTCCCTGCTTTCTGTTCCTAGCCATGTGTTTCCTGCCTTATCAGCTGCTCTGCTTTCTGCTTCCTTTCCTGTGATACTGACTCAAATTGATGCTTTGCTTTCTGCTCCCTGCTTTGTCTGCTGTTGTGCTGCCTTTCCCCTCCCTGATGTGCCATACACCAAGGCTGCCCATGCCTCAGGCTGGCCACCCCAATCAAGGATAATTCTGCCTAGCCAAAAAGCAGCCCTGAGGTTTTAAAAGTTAATTCCCAATTATGGCTCAGAATCTCCTTGCAGGATAAGGAGAGATTTATAGCTGGGAGCTAATTTGATATAGGTGAATGTACTTAGGTTCCAAATGCTATAAATGCTTTTATAAAGAGAGGCAGGGAACATGAAATAAAATGCCTTCTTTGTATGTATATTCTCTGTTTTGGAGGTCAGCACTTGTAAAGCTATGTGGAAATAAACCGGCCTGAAAGTGTTGCTAAACTTTTGCAGACCACATTTTTGTGGGTTTATTCTGAGAGAAACCCCAAATCTGGAAAAGACTTATTTTGGTGTTAATGTGGAAACTTGAGTGCTGTGTCTGTCTTGCCACTCCAAAAACATGCAATATATATTCTTTAGTTTATTTTTTCAGTTCTTTGTCATGAGTTTGGAGACAGAATTTTTGTTTGATAGTAAATAATGTACTCTGTGCTGCTAACCATTCAGTTGAAGCCATAATGCTGTCTTTAGATTTGATTCTGGATGTTGACCATTTTCAACTCCCTCAGTACCTCCCAGGATTAAGCTTTGTGCCACTTAATTATAATGCAGGTAAATATGGTGTGTCAGAGCAAAAAAAAATGTTGATATTGGGTGAGGAACACTAAGCAACTACATATGAGCAAAGAGAGTATATAGCTGATGATAAAAATAAGAGAAGAGAAATAAAAAATGCAGATGTAGGAAAGAATGTTCAAAGGATGTCTCAGCTTTCTGTGAGGCATAAGTTGGTCTCCACTCTGTAAATGCAAACCCAGATTTTCTTAATCATATTCAAAATCTCTTATATCCAAAATTCACATTGAGGTAAGGATTTTCATTTGCACAGCACCTAGATCAGTACTGACCAGGGCTCACAGGTGCTACTACAAGGAAAAATGTAAACCATAAAATTGAAAACCTTCAAAACATTGGGGTGCCAGTGGTCCAAAGGCATTTGATTTTTGGTGATTGTCTGCCTGAGGCTGGGCTTTGCTTTTCACTATTTTCTAAAATTAAACGAAAATCCAGCATTTTAATTTGAAGACTCTTAAAGCTTCTGTATGCTATCAGAAGAGTCAATTGAAGTTGTCCTATATGTAAAGCCAGTTGTCCTGTGTAGGATATTTTTCTTTGAATTTCTTCAAAACAGAATGGTGTGAGATAAACTTGATATAATTCTGTTTCTCAAATTATGTGTTACTTTAGCGTGTAAGAGTGAACTACTACATATTGCTTAATATCATAGGAGTGGCAGGGAATGAAAAATCACCCTAAGAAATCCTTGCCCCTCACATAATTTGTGGACCATCATGGTTGCAACATTACTCTTATACTACCTCGGTATCATAAGATTATAGGAAAGTAGGGCTGGAAGGGACCTCACACGGTCTTCTGATCCAGCCTCCTGGTCAAGGCAGGAGTATCCCTGACTGACCCACCCCAGACAAGTGTCTGTCTAACCCGCTCTTGAAAACTACCAAGGATGGAGATTCCACAGTTTCTCTAGTTAGTCCGTTCCACTGCTTGACCACCCTCATAGTCAGAAAGTTCTTCCTAATGTTTAGCCTAAATTTATTCTAATACAGTTTGAGACCATTGCACCTAGTCCTGTCTCCTCTGACTACAAAGAAAAGCACATCTCCATCCTCTCTGTAATTACTCTTCAGGTATTTGAAGACCTGATTCCAAATCCCTCCTCAGTCTTCTCTCTCCAGGCTAAATAACTCTAGTTCATTCAGCCCTTCCTCATAAATCATACCTTCCAGGACCCTAATAATTTATGTTGCTCTCGCTGGAATCTTTCTAAACTGTCCATATCCTTTTTGAAGTGTGGGGCACAAAATTGGACATAGTACTCCAGGTGAGGCCTCGCCAGTGCTGAATAGAGTAGAAAAATCACTTTCCTTGATTTGCAAGTGATACTCCTGTTAATACAACAACCATATCAAACAAGTGTACTCTGTCCCACCCTCAAGTTCAGTACTATGGGATGTACCCTATCCCACTCTCAAATTCACCCTTAATTTCACTTCTAGCACAATGGTCAAGGTAACATAAGGAGTCAATTCACTATGATTCTTTTCCTCTGGTGAGCTATGTAGTTGTGTGTACACGTGTATAATTTTTTTATTGCAACATTCATTGATTTTTGATGACCTCTTGTGGCCATTTTGTGGCAAAGGTTTTAGTTCCATACTCTAGTAGAAGTATCCTCTCTATTGCTTGCAAAATGTTTCCATTTTAGCAGCTATGATCATACATTTTTGTGTTGTCAAAGTGCAGCTTTACCTATGGACTCTGAACATTGCTCATTAACAAATGCTTCTTTATCAAATTCTATCAGAAGCCCAGAAATGCTGCGATCAGAAGGTCCATTCTCCATAGGAGGGAGGCATTCTTCCACAGACTCTAACAAAGCCTCAAGCGGAGATGTTTCTCCATATGACAACAACTCACCGGTACTGTCTGAACGGTCTTTGTTGGCAATGCAAGAAGACATTACCCTTAGTTCAGATAAGCTCCATAAGGTATCTGAACAGTACACATTGGTTGGTCATTTGCAGTCTAAATTGAGAGAGAATTCTTCAGGATCACAAGCTGGAAAAGGTAAAGTAAGACCTGCACGTGTTCATCTTTTTTTAATATGCAATAAGAATTTGTGTTGTGCAGCAAAACCAGTTCCTCTTTCAAATCTATGCATCCAAGAGTTGTGACTTCCCTCCCTTGTGCCATTATGGAAAATAAATCTCTCTACTGTATGCTTCCCTGTTTTTTACCAGTGGTTTTGAACCATTATAAGATATAGATACACTCATGTATCTATATTATTCTGAAGGCAAGAAGACTCCCTAGGCTTCATGGCCAAAGCTTGTTATTTTCACTCATGCATATTGTTTTCCTGTTGAGTGCAATGGGACAATATACTTAAGGAAGGTGCTGTCTACAATGGGTTCTGGGGATCTAATCCCGATGGCATTCACTACAGGATTCGAGCCTGTAAGTCTTTAAGAACAGGATATAGCTCTGTCTCTTGTGCAGGGAAAATCCACTGATAAGTATATGTCAAGCTTTTTTTCCTTCGGTTTATAGAGAATATTTTTACTGATCTTTTCCAATTCATCTTTTCAAAAGATCATTTCATGTCTTCCTCCTGTAGATCTTCCAGAGGATCATTTTAATATCTGGGGCACCTGGCATTCAACCCTGAAAAGCAGTTCCAAAGATCCAGGAATGACAGGTTTGATGTTTCTTTAAGAGTTTTTAGGACCTGATTTGGCAACTGCTTACTAATTTCAATTTTATGCACTGTGAGCCATTCATTTGAAGCTGGGAGGGATACTCATGTTGTATAAAGTTAAACGTGTAAATGTTTATAAGATTAAGTGCCTTCATTTATTAAATTTAAAATGGGGACTCTTCATTCTAGAAGTACTTTACATATTTTGGTACTGTTGAAATGATGGTGTAGTCATGATGCTAGACACAACAACTATAGACATATGACAGCATTTAAAAATACAGTGCAGAGTAACATAATAGAAAATATTCTCTAGTGAGGAACACAGGCAGTGCTTGTTGCTTAAGTACAGCCCTCATTGAGAGCTAGGAGTCCTGGATTTGAATCCTAGTTCCACAACTGATACTTTGTGTAATTTTGGTAAAGACACTTAACTGCTCTGTCTCAGACTCTTTTTCTCATCTGCACCTACTTCATAGGAATTTTGTAAAGATAGCTGTAAAAGTTAGTTAATTCTTGAAGACAGCATGCAAATCCTGAGTAGTAAAAGCACAAGTGTACATAGAGTGTGAAGTTCAAACAATACAGATCCAACACTGTCCTCTCCAATATGGTGAATTAGGTTAGAGGTAACCTATAATATGTCATGCAAATTGCATGGCATGCTAATATTTCCTCTCTTACTCTGGTCCTCAGGTTCATATGGAAACATTTGTGAAAGCAGCTCATTACGACCAGGACAGTGCTCTCTTTCTCAAGGGAACCTATCAGCAAATTCTCCTCAGTGGCAGAGTAACTTCACTGAATTGGACAATGGAAAGCAAACAATACGAAGGAGTCAGACTACTGCTGCCATCCCTGAATGTAAGTTTCATCCTCCCGTGTCTCGTGTTTGCAGTACTTCGCAAATTGAAGGCAGTAGGAGGAGTTCAGATGAGTCTAATTCAAGGTGTGAGTGGCCTTTGACTTTAATGAACACAGAGGACTGTCCAGAGCGTAACTCAAATCTGGGTTGTTTGCAAAGTGTAACTAAACCTTCATACCCAAGGCACAGCAATATAAGTAGAAAAGACAGGCCACCACCTCCTTATCCTGGTCCAGCAAAAACAAGTTCTGCATTGTCCCAGCAACCAACTGGCTCATCAATACCACACTCCTTGTGGAGCCTTCAGAAAGAGAAATATTCAGAAACCACTGCAGCAGAAGGACGAGCAGCCAAATCAGTGGACCAGTCCACATCCAGTCAGGGGAGACAGACCACACAAGACAAAATAAGTAACATCTTTTCCACTACAGCCAATAATCAGAAAAGCAAAAATGTGCCCGAGCCAGAGTGGCATGATTGGCAAAGAGAGCGATGGCAAATTTGGGAGCTTTTATCAGCTGATAATCCTGATGCCCTCCCTGAAACTCTTGTATGATCAGACTCATATACAGAACTGCCAATGATGAATAAACCTCTCTAAAATAGGAAAAGAAGAATGACATTGGAAAACCTGAGGGTGTTATACTAAGTCAATTTCATTCTTTTTTAACTTTGTTCACTTTAATTCTTTAATAGCACTGTCAAGCAGTCTATTTACAAATGCAATATGTTTCAGTTTTGTAGGAAGCTTTAAAAGAGAAGAAGAAGATGAAAATTTTAGTCTAATATCTCTGTATGCATAAGCTGTGTGTAAGATAAAACTATTGCTTTGGTGTTGCTAAAACATATTTATATATCTGCAGTTTCGATGATTGTATATTCTGTAATAGGTTATGTATGATAATCATATGGTATATGTTCATATACAGATGACAATCAGATCGTGACTGTTTTTTTTTAATCACTGCACTTAAGTTACGCATTGGAATTCTATAAAAAGTGCACAAGCTGGTTTCTGTGCTTATAAACAACATGTTAATGGGGGTAGAATGTCCTTCTTTTCACTGCCTGTGAAAAACACTAAAATAGAATGAAACATATGAAAAGCCATATATTTTATAAGGGTAGTAGTGAGATAAGGGGAAAATAGTAACCAGATATTTTTCTTATAAATATAATTTTGCAAACAAAATTAAAATTTGATACAGTATTATAACATAATATTTTTTTAGACGCTGTTTGGAAGCAATTCAGTTAATCAGCCAAGAGAGAGGCTGTGCCTAAACCAAATGAAAAGTCTTAGTGCAGAGGTCTGCCATCCCATTCTAGAATAACTATGATTTTATATATACAGCATATAATATATATATTTATAAATGTATGATGTTATGTATTGTTTTAAAACAATAAACTGGAAATCCAAATTTTAAAAAAAGCATGTAAAAACTCAAAAAGAATATGGCTTTTCCTATTAAATAACAAGTTTTCAGTATTAAGAATAAATAAATTGAACATGCAAGTATTTACATGTACATTAAAAAGGAGAGTAACATGCAGTATTCTAGAATTGAGTATGACATTTGGAGACGTTCACAGCTATTTGTATAATTATTTTGCCAAAGTTTGGGGAACTATTTCTTCTTCAGTAACTTTACATTACATTGTTAAATGTTGATGTTACACAAGTTCTGGTTTTTTAAACTGCAAAAATGTTTATGACCAGCAGGTGGCAATGTACTCAGTATTTTAAGAGTTTTGTTTCACTTGATAAGGGAAAGTGTTTCATATACAAAGATTTTTATAAAACATGCTAGGCTTAATTTTAATGAAGTTAAAGACTTATTCAGTGGTGTTGTCTTTAAGTTCTATCTTGTGCCATAATGATGGAATAAAAAGCTAAGAAAAAGCATGGGGATATGTCTTCCTCTTTTGTCACAAGGTTATAACAAATGGCATGTCAACTCAAATGATTTATTATGTTCCGGGGGTAAAACTTTCAAAAGTGCCCAAGAGACTCAGGAATCCAGCTCACAATTCCAAAAGTGTTTTAGTTGTTCTTACCAAAGTTTCATGGAAATGTAGTGAGACTTAAGCTACTAAATCAGACTCCACTCCTGCTTAACTCAACAAATTTATGCAAAGTTGAATACAATTCAAAGGCATGTATACTAGAGGTTGACCTGTTCTAAAGTGACCTGGTTTTAACTTGTTAGTTGTTAAATCAATGTAACTTCTATAATGTTGATCAGATCTTAATATGGTTTTAAGTTACCAATTTCAGACATCCAAGTTTGACAATAGTGGTCTATTATTTCAAAGTAAGATTAATAAATCCTGGCCTCCACATCAGCGGTGAAACGTTCCCAGTCAAGGAAAAGAAGAGGTCTTTTCCTATCATTCAAACTAAGGGGTAAGTCAAAGCCAGGCCTTTGCTGTTGAAAGTGCAATAATTAACCATATTTCTTATTTCTGTTAAGGTCTACATTATTATGTTACAGCAGGCACTTGGTATTTGTTGGACACAGAACTGGAATGAGACAGAGGGTTAGGCACCCAGCATGTATGTAATATTAATTTTTGAGTTAGAAGTTTAAAACCAGCCCTGGTCATTAGCAATAGATGTTTTGCTGCTCTTTTGAAATGGTTTGATAGTCTGGCATAACATCCAGATAAGCCACCCTGAAGTTTAGTCATGAACTCACTCATGAGGGTTAGCCCTTCTGGTCAGGAATGAGACAAACAATTAGCTTAGAGCATTTTTTGCAGTGTTAGTCCAAATCACATTCACATTTATTCAGGGATATATTCCCTATAAACTTACTGGGAATTCCCACTAGAACAGTGGTTCTCAACTATTTTAGATCCCTTCTTAGATTCAAAGTGTCCCTTGGACAATGCCAGCTCTTAGCTTCCACTCGTTTTTTGACTGCAGAAAAATAATAGAGCAATTCTTTTGTTGCAAAGAACTCAGAAAAACCATAACAGGGCAAGGTGTTTTTGACCCTACAAATTTGTTTGAAATCTCTGGGGGTGTCCTCATGAGTGCATGTGTGCAGTTTGCAGTGCAGCAAATCACACACACCACATGTGCAGGCATTGTCCACACTGCTAATTTGCAGCACTGAATTTTTTTACACCAGAAGATCCTGGTATCACAAAAACCCACGCCAGAAAAAAGGGCAGCATACATAGTGACAACACGCGTCTCCCCGAACCAAAGTGTGGCTGGCCAGAACCACACTCTGGCTGCCAGCCAGGCTCCACGCACCTGGATTTCCACTGCTAGAGCTCCAGAAGGCCCCAGGACCCCAGGTAAGGCTGCTGGGACCAGCCCAGGTGCTGGCCCAACCTCCCCAGCCCAACCCAGGGTAACTTGCTATGTGCTAAAGTGTGCATGCAGGGACATTCCCCTGGGACAACTAGCAGCAGCACATATTTGTGCCACTGGTTGTTGTCCCCAGGGAACACACATTCCTGC